GACGCTGCCACTGCCACACCTCCTTGTAGCCCAGCCCTGGTGAACCCCACCCTGTTCAGCACAATGAGCCTTTGGCTGCCTCTCATTCAAGCTGCTTGCAGGCAAAACCCAAGCATGCTAGGAAACTTCTGTGCTCTGAGCACTGGGGAGATAGGATTTGGTTATAAAGATTCCTACTTTCACAAAATTATCTCAAAATTTATGCGCCAGGGTGGTGACTTCCCATACCATACTGGCGCTGACAGCAAGTTCATCTATGGGGATGAGGGGACTTTCACCCAGGTATCTAATCCATATCAAATGCTGGGCCCAACACAAAAGATTCCATTTTTCATGGTTGGATGATGGGGGGGGGGGCATTGGCAAGGTGAAGGAGGACATGAACAGTCTGAAAGTCATGGGGCACTTTGGGCCCAGGAGTTGGCAAGACCAGCAAGATCAGCATTGCTGACTGTGGACAAATGAAATGAATTTGACTCGTGCATCATCTGAACCATCAGACCATTCTGTAGCACAGGAGAGTGAGTACATCTTCACCCCACCTACTCAAAATATCCTCTACAGTTCTTTGGGTTCCATATTTTCCTCATCTCCTTCCAATGCCAGCTGCATCACCGTTTATGACTATGAAATAAAAAAATAAGCAACAGCAAAAAAAGAGAGGTTCAGGGCCTTCCTGTTGATCCCCCAGTTAACGCGCAGTACTCTGAAGCTCTCCGTAGCCACTGCACCACGAGTTTGACCCCAGGCCAGGGAGCTGATCACCTGCTGCTCCCCTCAGCAGTGTATTTCACTAGATCTGCCTGTTCTGTTCCCCACTCTGTCTCTGGTGAAACCTCTCACCCACCCTCGCACCCCACCCCTGCACATCTGGCCTGTACCCCAGTTCTTGTATGCATAAATACATAAATGTTTTTAAAAAGAGTGAGAGAGGTTCAGGAACTGCCCAAGATGGCCCTGCCGCAAGGGGATGTTTCCCTTCTACTCCTGTGGCTACTGACCCAGAGACCAATTCTGGGAGCGTTTACTCACCTTCCTGGGCCCCTTACTTTTTCCACACATAATGAAACTGTGTCTTTACCTCAAAGACCCAAATGTGCAAGGCCTGGCATACAGTAAGTGTTCAATAAATGCTAGCTACATGCTCACGGGTAGGAGGGTGACTGTACAGGTTGTAGCTCTGCTGTGGAAAGAGGAGCCAAGGTCCAGGGAGCTTTCACCTCCAAGGAGGCAGCGTGACGTGAAGGAGAGCAGGACACTGCACTTGCCTGAGCCTCACTCAGTCAGCACTTCCCTGCTCCCCGCACTGCAACTCTTAGGCCTCAGTTTCCTTGCTTGAGCCTGGGGCTCTTGAAAGGGATGTTTTTCTAATGAGCTGGAGGACTGTTGAATGCTTCCTTTGCATTTGCATCCTGTTGAGTGAGTGAATAATTAGCCCATTGTTCCCTCTGCATACAGGACTCTATCTTTAGGTAGATCCCTCTCTTTAGCTTGTCTCCTAGCTCTCTCTCTCCTCCCCCCCAACCCCCATCTTCCCACCCCTATTTCCTTCAGTTCCTTCTGACCTGTGAAGTCTGGGCCTTAAGAGCCCCCAGGGAGAGGATAGGATATCTTAAATTTCAGCACTTCTGGGAGTCAGTAAGGTGACTTCAGTGTAAGTACATAGCCGTAAGGCCCCCAAGAATTTCGATCCCTAAAAGTATTTCAGTTCCAAAACTGTCAAATGCTTTACTCTGCTCTCTAGTCAAAACAAATCCTGAATTCCACCTTCAAGCTGCTAGTGGAAACCTTTGTCCCAATAGTGCCTCTGCCGGTGCCCGGACAGCACTGGGCCCATTCCCTCCCCACCGTCCTGTCCTGCCACATCGGTTAAGGATGAGCAGCAGGGTCTCAGCGGACATCTCCTGAGGGCGCCTCTGCTGACAGAGACCCTCCCTAGTTCCTGGTTCTCCTCTGAGAAGCCCCAGCCTGGCACTCCTGGGATGGTGAGGCCCACTGCAGGTGACTCCTCCAGGAAGCCTTTCCTGAGTTCCTGGACAGGCCCAGGTCACTACACTTTGCGCTTGTGTGCCACAGCTTGCCTCTCACAGGAAATGCTTAAACTGCAGACCTGGAGCCTGAACCAGTGAGCACTCAATAAATATGCAGGGAACAGTTTAATAAACTCATCTGTCACATGGCCTTGGAGGGGTGACTTCCATTCTCTAAGCCAGCTCTCCTATCTGTGAAATGAATTGAGATGAGAAAACATTCAGAAAATGTAGAGTGTGAAGCTGAACAATAGCTCACAGAGATATCTAGGTTCTAAGCCCTGCAGCCTGTGAATGTCCCCTTACATGGGGGAAAAGAAAAACAGAGGGGGCACCTTGAGGGTGTGATTCCATGAAGGGCTTTGAGATAGGGAGAGGCATGAATTATCCAGGTGGCCCTAACACAATCACAATGGTCCTTATGAGAGGAGGCAAGGTCAAGGGAGGAAGTAGGAGGCCTTTATATCAGGAGCAATTATTTCCTTGCCTCTTCCAGCTTCTGGAGGTCACCAAGGGGTCATGAGTCTCCAAGGGCCACATCCTCCAGGAGTTTGAAGAGACAAGGAACAGATTCTACCCCGCCAGCCTCTATCCAGAAGGAGCCAGCTCTGCCCACGTCTAAGTCTTTCGGCCCAGTGATACTGACACTGAACTACAAGAATAAATCTGTTTGCAACCATGAAAGCTATGGCACACACAGAAGGCACCAGCATGTATTTAACAGGGGCCCAGAAACAGCAACCGCTCTTTCCTGGAGGCCCCCCAGTCTCCTTCTTTCTCTCCTCTGTCCCTTCTCTTCTGCTCAAGATGCTTTTATTCTCTGGGCTACCAGCACACCCTGCCCTGCCCAGCCTGCCAGTCTGGCTTGAACGCTTCCTCCACCAGAGGAAAGCTCACATCTAGGAAAGCTACTCCTTCAAATGAAGATGCTTCCTCTAACAATGCCTGAGCCAGATTTGCTCAAGGCCCGAGGCTGGGGACACCAGCCTCATGAATCTGACATCAATGAATTAAAATAAGAACCCAATTTCAAGACCAGAAAATGGGCTTTTCCAGACTTGGGTTCCAGCTGATTTCCCAAAGAGCCTTGCCTCTCTGGGTAGAGGTGCCAGTCTCTGTGGGCACCCAGAAGTCTCCCAGGGAGGCCTCTCTGCGTGCTGTGTCAGGTCTTCCCATAGATTGTCCCTAAGAGCAAGTTGGGGCAGGTGATGAAGTTGACAGGCCCATGGCAGGGACCAGGCAGCCCTTGGATGGATGAAAGGGGGCATTCCCATTCATCTAGCATTTGATCTCAGACAGAAACAGCACTCCCACGTGCCAGGCTCTGAACTAAAGGCTTCCCACACTCATCTTCCTTATTCCTCCCAACAACTCCAGGAAGTGGGTATTACTATCACCCCGATCACACAGATAAGGAAACTGAGGCTCAGCAAATCTGGGCTTTTTGACATAAGACACACTGCAACACAAAGAGTTAGATTTAGAAACTAGGTCTGTCTTCCCTAGAACCTGCGCTTAAAATAACAAAGTTGACATTTTTTCTAAAGATTTATTTATTTATGCATACAGAGCTGAGGTACAGGCCAGAGGTGCAGTTGACATTTTGATCCTGTTTCTGTCTTGCTCTTAGCACTCACCCAGGGTGCTGAGCTGGGTGGGAGAGACTCCATGTGAAGGTCTTAGCTCTGACACTTTAGCTTGAGAACCTGAATTGGTGACTTCAGTCTGTGCCTCAGTTTCCTCAGGAACACAATGTGAAGAGGCCACTTCACAGATGAGGAAAGTGAAGTTTGATTCGGGGCCTCCCTGCTGGTGCCAAGGTTAAAATGCAGCACTGTGCTATCAGCAGCCACTGTAGTACAAGTTTGGTCCCTGGCCCCGGAGTGCCACATGGCACGGCAGACCTCTCCTGACCTGCCTGTTGCTCCCCTCAGCAGTGTACTTCATGGATCTGCCTGTTCTGCTCCCCACTCTGTCTCTGGGGAGTCCTCTCACCGCCCCTGCACCTCTGGCCTACACCCCCGTTCTTGTATGCATAAATAAATAAAGCTTTTTTTTTTAAAGTTTGATTTGTGGTTCATTACCTTCCAGATCACCTGGGAGCCCAGATGCCTCACCCCCACTCACAGGACCCACACTCCCAGAGGCTGGGTGGGGGTGGGCGCTTCCTGAGCAGGTGGCTGTGGGATTCTGCTTGATCTGTGATGAGCTGAAGCCTGGGAGTGATAACTGTCAAGGAGCCTATAAGTTAAGAGGTTCTGTCACTGGACATTTCTCTGCTTAAAACCTGCACAAGGACCCTCCCTGGTGGCACAGCAGGTTAAAGCACAGCACTAAGAAGCTAACAGGCACTTCAGCATGAGTTCCATCCCTGCCTGCCCTGGAGCTGACCCACAGGGCATGGCAGACCTCTCCTGACTTGCCCACTGCTCCCCTCAGCAGTGTACTTCCAAGAACTGCCTGTTCTGCTCCCCACTCTGTCTCTGGGGAATCCCCTCACCACCCCTGCACCTCTGACCTGTACCCCAGATCTGCATGCATAAATAAATCTTAAAAAACAACAACAACAAAAAAAACCCCCTGCACACTGCACAAGATTCCTTACCAGATCCTTTGTAGTCCCTAAGAGACTGGCCCTCCACTGGGACTCCTCGCCTTCAGCATGAGGACAACTTGTGCCCTAGCGAATTACACACCCGGCTCTCCCCTGCCTCCCTGCCTCCCTGCCGGGGCACTGGCTATTTCCTCAGCCAGGGATGCTCTTTCCCTGCTCTGCCCAGGGCAGGTTCCTGCTCTCCAGTTTTCTGCCTGCACAGGCCTGCTTTTACTCCCAGCTAAGTAGCCCTATTTATCATTACACCTGCTCATTTTCTTCCTAGCTTACTATCCCCTGAAATTATCTTATCTGTGTATGTAGCATCTGTTTGCTGTTTGCCTCTCCCCACCAGGATGCCGGCTCCATGACAGCAGGGACAACTTGTCTCTGTTGATTCCCCCCGACACTCAGCAAGGTGCCGGTAAGGTACGAAGTTTAGTGCAGCCTATCGAGTTTAGAAGTCGAAATGTTTCCCAAACTGTAAGGAGAGGTCACGGTGAGAGCTGCGGGTGGGGTGGGGGTGGGTGGGACTCTAGCCCTGGCACCAGGCCAGGGACTGCAAACACCTGAAAGCAGGATACCCAGATCTTCCGCTCAAGGTTTCAGCTCTTATTCCGACTTCGGTCCTGCGGCGCCCCTGCGCCTGGAGCGGGAACGTGAGGGTCCCTGGGGGTTCCACTGACACAGCAAAGCCCCCTCCCCCAGCCAAGCCCGCCCGCGGGCGGGCGGGCGGAGTGGGGGCGCAATGGGGCGCGCGGACCGCCAGGGGGTGCTGTCGGGGCGCGCACGGCCCACCTAGCGCCCGGGGCCGCGAGCGAGCGCAGCCAGGCCGCCCGGGAACTTTTTTCCTCCCGCTCTCGCTCTCCTTCTCCCCCCCGCGCGTCGCCCGCCCGCCCGCTCTTCCTGTGCGGAGGGGATCGCATTTCCCCGCGGCACCCGCGGACACCAGGCAGGCCCGGCCGGGTGCGCGGCCAGGGCCCTGCGCCCGCCCAGGCGGGCAGCCTGGAAGCCCTGTGGCCACAGCCGCCTCGAGGCCTGGCGGCAGGAAAGGGAAAGCTGACGTCATCGTGCCTGGAATCTGCTGTTTGGAGGCGTCGCCATGGAGACCGGAAGGCTCAGGGTGGGTAAAAATAGCAAACCCAAGAGGGTGTGAGCTCCAAGAACGAGTCTGAAAAGAAAGGAATCCAGGTCTTGTTTCTGGGAGGACAGGCCTCGGGCGGGGGCGGGGCGGCCCGCTGCTCCGCGAGGGGCCCGCGCCCGGCTTTGTCCCCACCAGGGCGTGGCCAGGGACGTCTGGCAGCGTGGACACCCCGGAGACCTGGCACGTGGGGCCTGCGGGAGAGGCGGCGAGGACCGTGCGGCCACCGCCCAGCACCCGGCCTGGCCCAGCGGGTCTGTGCGGCCCCTGCTGGCCCCGCCGGGCACGTGCCCTGCGCCTCCCTCTGGAGGACGGGGCCTTCTCCCCTCCCGGCCAGGGGAGGGCAGCCCGCGCCCTGCGGCCCCTCTGTCTCGGGGATCCCCCCCAGCTCCCACCCCGGCCACCCCCTCCTGGGCCCGGGAGCGCCTGCGGTGGAGGGGGCGCCTGGCTGGTGCCCACCCCGGGAAACGGGGCTGCCTGCTGGGCCGTCTGCCCAGAGTGGGGGCTGGTCGCCCGCCTCGGGGCGGGAACTCACCGTCCCCCAGGGCCCGACGTGCTCGGCCGTAGGGCTCTGGGGGGCCTGAGACAGGAC